AAAGAGACTACAGTCCCATGGAAATGCAAAAGAGGGAGGAACTCACTCTGCCAGGAATGGATTCACTGAGACAAATGAGCTGTGCAAAGTATCTTTCAATGTTTATCTGAAGAAATAATTTGCTGGAAAAATTAGCAGAAATAGAAGGGAACTGTTTGTTACTAAGATTAATATGCTGAAGTCAATGCTACTTGGAATATTTTTCACTTTTATTGAATGACTTCCCTTTTAAGAGCAGGATCTAGTCCTATCTTTACAAAGACCCCTTAGGTCCTTCCTGCTTGGTCCAAGAACACTTAACTGTGGGCACTCTTTATATGACAATTGCATGTACTTTTTTGTCCTATTATCTTTTATTTATCTGTATGTTTACAGCCATCCTCAAAGTTGGGAAATGAATTGCATTTCAGAAGCCTGGACCTCTTCCCTGAATTTCAGTCCACTGCCTGCTACCTGACATTTACAATTGGATGTCTTATAAGCATCTCAAACTTATGTGTCCAAAAATTAAATTCTTCTCCTTCCCCTCCCCTCCTGGACCACCCCCCACAAATGAGGCTTATGTGCAATCGTTTATTTGGGGATTTGACTCCAGTGAGCAAAAGTGAGGGAAGAGGAAGGGGAAGTGAAACAAGGAAGAGGGAGATGCAGTCTAAGGATGTGTTATCGAGTTGGTCATTGTTTGAATGTTTTCTCAATCCCTTAGGACCTTCTAAGAAGCTTTATGAAATGAGTCTCAGAACTGTCCACTGAAGGTAAGAATGGAGGAAGCATTTTTATGTTGGCTCCTGTCCCCTTTGATCAAAGGTTAGTGCTCCTGGGCATTGACTACTCCACACTTAATGCCAAGCTGGCTCCCACATCAGAGACATGCTGGGGCGGGAAGTGAGAGGAGAGATGCATGTTGCACTTGCCCAAAGCTCATCAAACCCTGCTCAGAGCAGGTTGCTGCAGCCGTGGCTAGAATAAGAGGCTGAAGGGATTTGAAGTGGTGACAGAAGGTGCACAGTAGGTGTTCATTTCAGTCTACTATTTGCACCACTGTGATTTTCTTGTGCCCTCCGTTAAGTCCAGTCTTTCACAGAGGTCCCTTCGAGGTGATGGCCAGCGACAATCTCGGCAAGGACTTACCATAACAGAGTTCGTAGAATAAGCTTCGGTTTCCACTGCTGCACTGATGTCAAGACCACACATGTATTCGTTAACTCCCCCTCCCACTCCCCATTCTAACTTTTCCTCACTGTTGGCCAGCACATCAGCTGATCTAGGTTGTTTCTCTAGTGAGTAACCCAGACCTTCAGCCTTTATTTTCCTTGCTCCTGTTGAGCCATGATTGCTATAATTGCCCGTTCAATTTATCCCTGGGTACAGAAACACTAAGATAAGCCGCAGTGAATTCTTTGGATTCCAGATACATTCCTCCCTACTGCTATTGTGTAGCAGCAATTCCATAATACCGTGGAATACTCCTACTGACATAGTAACAACTTACTTTGCTGGCTGCTCCACTGCTCCACTGCCGTGAGAAGCACAAAGTGACCAAGTGATAGTGAGAGTTTCAAGTGCAGTGAATTCCATTGTGTGTATTCTGGTGGAAGCTTCCCCACCCCCCACCCCTGGGGAACCAATTATTGCATTCTAGCAAAGCCTAAATTTGAGAGGCAGGAAATACAGATTCTGCAAGTGGATCATTGGCAGTGATAATAAAATGGACCAACTCTGCTCCCATCCCTGGGTTTCTGGGAGCCATGTGTTTAGCTATTGGAGGTACTCTTGTTGGTTGGTTCAGTGCATTTACCACATGCTGTACGATCACGTCCCAAGCCCAAGAAGGCATATTAGCTGAGCCTGTGACAGGCCATTCCACCATTTTATAAGGCTAGCTGCATCTGACTGATGAAGGGTATGGCAATATCTGATAAACAGCGAATTCTATGGTCGTGTGTATATTGTCACTTATTTTGGGGCTTTAAAATGGATTTCTTGTTTGAGGCAACATTGATCAAGAATGCTATAGTTCTGGTGATTGTGGATGTTGGCAGAGTCACTGTAGGAGCCTGCAAATATTTTTGCTTCAGGCCGTTCCTGCTTCTATATAAAGCGAACAATAAAATGCACTGCTCCAAGCTCTGCCAACTGGAAAGATCCCCCCATAGGCTATCGCTCTTTACAGCTATCCCCGAGTGGGGCTAAAGTGCAGCAGTCAGATTTTAACTACCCACCAACATAACGTGCCAGCTCGTCTGTGAACCGGGCTCCAATGTTTTATTCTGTGTTAGGTAGTCATAAAGAACTCCTGAGAGGCCATAGGAGTGAGTGGAGGAAGAGATGTCAACGCTGTAAAAGTAAGCGCCATGGGAGTTTGAATCACATATTCGTGTAATTTACTTGTGTCTTCTGGACCTACT